GATTTCTGTCTCTTCCCCGCAACCACCTCCCATTTCCCTCCCCCTCCCCCAATCAAGTCTCCCTCCCTTGTCAGCCCAAAGAGCAATCAGGGTTCCCTGCCCTGTGGGAAGTCCAAGGACCACCCACTTCCATCCAGGTCTAGTAAGGTGAGCATCCAAACTGCCTAGGCTCCCACAAAGCCAGTTCGTGCAGTAGGATCAAAAACCTATTGCCATTGTTCTTGAGTTCTCAGGCAGATGACTGCCCTTTCTTTAGGAGCAATCAACTGTCATGTCCTCCCCCTGGAGATAGGTCTAGGTAGCTCCTACTCTACTCATGATTGTAGCTTTAACTGTCTGGATATTTTGTTGGTAATTACTCCTGTAGATAATCACAGTTGCTATGAGCTCATGTGTGCAACAAGTATGTTGTTTCATGAAGACATTTCATACTTTCATCCAATTTTCTGGCTTCTTTATTGTTTGAGGCTCTGCGTGGCAATGTCCCTTAGGCCTTGGGGGTAGAATATGGTTGATATATATGTTGAGAATGTTGAAAGCAGAACAAATCTACGTACATAAACATAAACCTTTAGGAGGCAATTTGGCAGAACTATTTAGCAGAACAATAGTAGGTTCTGACATCGAGCCTATATCTTCTCGAACCAAAGATTTTGAGTACCTTAGAGTACCAGGCATGAATTATGTCCTAAGGAAGCCTCAAATCCAATTGAAATCAGCTGGTTAGGCCAGTAGTCAGTTCTCCCACTTTTCACCAGTGGGCTTATCTTATCAGGCAGGCTAATATAGCAAGCAGTGTCTAGCACTGGGTAAAAGAGTTCATGTCTTCTCCATCAGCACCATGTGTAGCAATTCAGTACTATGAAAATTATCCAAGGGAAAATATATCTCAGTTAAAATACATAATTTTATTTTGCAAGTATATTTGAACATAGATTCCTATCATGAGTTTTTATTTACCACGGCTTTGTAGTATAAGCTGATATTATCTATGAAATTTTTTTTCCAAAGCTGCTAGTTTTGATCTTTGATTCAGATTGCTTGGGCAATCTGGGTCTTTAGGATGAATTTATAAGATGTTTTTATTCTATTTCTGTAAAGAATGTTGTGAGATTTCGATAGTGATTGCATTGAATCTGCACATTTATTTTTCTAGGGCAGCCACTTTCCCGGTGTTCCTTCTTTCAGGTGATAAGCACGAGAGGCCTTTCCATCTTGTTGTGTCCTCTTGGCTTCCCTCTTTCATCAGAATTATAATTGTTTCATAGTTTCCCTGGATGTGAAATAAAGAACTGTCAGAATATTGTCTTCTTATTAGGATATGTTACTTTATGGGCTGCAATTTTATTGTGCTATTTAATTGCATGACTTAAATATGGAAATAATTATCTTAACTAATGGAGTAATACTAATAGCAATCTCAATGGAGTGTAAGTGTGATAGATAAGTTATTGTGTCTATTTCTCGATAAACAACAGATACATTTTTAAACTTTCCATCACTACTTAGTTCTTTGCTTATCATGATTAGCCTGAATAATTTCTAATAACATTTGTAATAACAGAATATTGAACTAGTTATGCTCATTTTATGAGAAAAAGGGGGCGATCACAGAATACAATTCATAGCATGAGTTCTAATTTAACTGTTGCAGAAAATGCCTTCTGGATGGATCATCTACTACACAGTATTTGAAGAAGACTTACATTGGAAGTAGAATGGGTGACAATCTGTCACGGCACACCCTGGAGAATCAGTTTGTGCTTTTTATTTTCTTGTGTAGTTTCCATTGAATGAAGAATGTAATTTCAACTGAACACTGATTCAGAGGTTCAGATGACTCCAGGTTTATTACCAGCCCCATCAATGAGACACGGTGAGCCATTAGAAAAATACCTTTCTATTCTGAATGTCAGATTTCCTATCATTAAAATAAAGGCACATTTGGTGAGCTGGAAAATGATGCTGGATTTGGTAAATTCTGGAGTAGGTGGGTTAAAAAAATCTATGCTGTGTTTATAATACAAAGAAACAAATGAATGTGATGATAAGAATAAAAAAGATAATTGTATGGTTCTAATCATATTCATATTGTGTTTAAAGACTGAGCAGTGTGAAGCTTAGAGAAAATTATCATTTGCACAAATTAACACTCTCTAGGGAGTCCATGTTGTAGTGGGTGGCATCATTCAGTGTTACTATAATTTTGTAGGTACAATTTACACAAATATGTAAGACATAAATGATCAGGAGAGAGTCCCATTTCAGGATAAAAAGTGGAGATAAAACAAAACATAAAGAGAAATGACTTCTTTTAACAATTGAGTTATTCAAAGCATGTCTTCAACTCCATCAAGATATTCTGGTGAGACGCACAAAGACGCTCCAGTGGCCATAGACATGGTCACATTGGGAAGGATGGGACTCGACCTGATATTTCTGCATGTCCACAATAAGAAGCAAATGCTTGCTAATGCAGGTATTCATATAAGACACAATCTTGGATGTGGCTTACTTGGTGCTGGTAACAGATGAAAGCCATCAAAGAAACTAACCCAGATACACCTGTGAGGCCATCAATTTGCAAGGAAAACACAGTTCTGTCGATGACATGCTATCTCACTCTTTATGTAGCAGGAGTGTAAACCTGTGTGGTCACTCAGGAAAACAGTATGGGAGAATTTCAAAAACAAGATGATACGGCTGTGCTACTCCTGAGAATATACCCAGAAGACTTTAACTTAACACAGAGATTCTTACCCATTTATGCTTACTGTTGCTGTCTTTATAATAGTATAACAAAGGACTAGTATGCATGCCTTCAATAGATCAAAGAATGATGGAAATATGGTATAGAGCTAGAGAAGAGACTCAGTTAAAAACTGCTTACAATACAAGTATGACAACCTGAGTTTAATTACCAGCACCCACAAAAAGCTAGACACAGTGGAGCACACTTATAATCCTGGGTATAACCAACAAGCAGAACCCTGGGCCTCGTTAACCACCCAGTCTAACTAAATTGATGAGCACCAGGTCCCGTGGAGTGACTCTGTCTTATAAAATATGGTGGGTGGGTACTAAGGAATGACACCTGAGCTTGAACTCTAGGCTCATGTAGACACACATAAACATGTACATGAATGTGCACATACAAATACAAAGAAAACATAAGAGGATTTTATTCACCTGATAAGAACAATAGTTATAAGATTTCCAAGACAACGGATGGAATTTCAAAATATTATTTTGGAGATGTGAGAGAAGGGAAAGAAGAGTGTGCTCGTGGAAAAAATCATGCAAAACTAGGATCATGTAAAAAAGATCACGTTGAAAGGTCAGATGTAAACCTGCTGCTTTATATTCTAATTCAAAAAGAAATGAATAAGGAAAACAAAATTATGTCAAAACTATGTAATAAACATTTGTAATGTGTTTATCTGTCAAGGGATTTCTATCCACATTTTAAAAACAACAATAACAATAGGATAGCATATAAAAATGATAATTTTTACTGGCTACCCACATAAAGATAAAATAATGGCTATAGGCCCATGAAAATATTTGTACTCCACATCTTCAAAGAATGTAGAAAGAATGTAAATGATGCATACACTATTATAAACATATTTGACTGTCTGAAATTCAAACTACTAAAAGGAACAAATTTGGTGAAGATAAAGATGAGTTCCTGTGTTCTGATAGTACTGTAAAATAGGTACCAACTTGGGGAAGTAATTTGAGATCTTAAACTTTTAGATATATAACTTACCTAATCTGTCATTCTACTCTTAAGTATTTGCCTAAGAATATTGAAAATAGATGCCAGAAAATTTTATACATGCATGTTCATAGTAGATTTAATCACAATAAATTCAAAGTAGAAATAACCCTGATTTCCATCAGTAGATACTGGATTTAAAACAAAATCATTACTACTTGGAATGAAGAAAGAAACTACTGGTGTGTGCAACCACATACATGAGTCTCAAAAGTCATTATTTCAAATGAGTAAGATCAGACATGAAAGAGGATGCACTGTATGATCTGTTTGTATAAATACCCACTCCTTTATGTTGACAGAAAACAGACCAATAGTGTCTGCAGTAGGAACAGAAGAAAGAAATGACTACAGAGGCACCACAGGCATCCACTGGAGGTGAAGGAAATGTTCTGCCTTTGGATTATGTTGCTGACTTAACGGGTGTGTGTGCACCTAGCAAAACTCATATAACTGTTCACTTCAAATGCATTTACTTTGCTATACATTAATTACACCTTAATGAACTTGATAAAATAGAGTGCAATGTGTTCATTAAGGATAGAAATTGCCTTTGAGATCATCTAGTGATCTGTCCTGAAACTCTAAATCGGTTTTCGCATCTAAAGAAGAAAGTGACACAGGGTTAATTATTTTGCTTCCTATTCTATGTTTTAACAATAAACATGGCTATGTAGATGTATACATGAACATTCATGTCCAGATGCAACTATTCAAGTTTAAGAGAATTTGGAATTCTCTGAGATTTTCTCTAATGCTTTTTCTGCTCTTGTGTTAAGTTCTGAAACTGAATTATTTTTTAACACAGGCTGCCTAACTGTCTGTTTTGTCTCTCATGCTAGAAAGAGAGTTAGATTCTCAGAACATCTTGGTTTGCCTGGCTTTTCCAGAAATGATAGGAATTCCTATTAGGATATATTTCCAAGGCCTGGAAATGTTTTCAATAAGCCATCAGGAGTTTTGGCTGAAACTGCTGCTCAGTTCATGCTTTTTGGGCTTCACAGAACACTCAATCCACAACATGTGCTAGAAACCTGGACCCAGCTAAGATTGAAAACTTCTGCTATCTGTCATCTGCCCCTCTGCTTTCTCTTTCATTCCATGGTGCATTTCTACCTGCTCGGGAAAGTAAACCATAGAGCAACAGAAGAAATGGTAGGTGAGGAGTACCTTATCCATATCTCCGTGTTGATGCTCACTGCCTTCCTTGCAATCAGCATGCTGCTCCCAGAATTGCCGTCTTGTCCCTTGCAACACCACTAAAAAGAAAAAGTCTTTGAATGCTATTTTACTTGGCACACTCTAGCATTCAGCTAGTACAGAATAAGTTCAATCCAGTTCACGCACACAACAGGAGCTGTGGAAGGTGATGAGGACTGGTGAACATTGATGGAGGGGAGCAGATGCGGGAACCAACCATTTTTTAGGGCATGCATCAGCATATTAACATATGCTGAATATTCACAACATAGATTCTTATCTCTCACTGTTAGAACAACTGCAAAACAGCAAAGAGATTTTGACAAAGAAAGTTTTAAGTGTCATCTTGGGGGGAAAAAGAGGACAAAGTATGAATTGCTTGATTGTGAGTGTCCTTATTTGTCCAAGTGTTTGGATAACCCTAGAAACGAAGCCTACCCTTCTGTGTCTGTTCAATTAGAAGCTGGAATCAACAGGTCCCCTCTGAACATCAAGGCTTGAAAATGACTCTTCCTTTATAAGCCCTACATCCTGCTGTCTTTCTTGAGGTCTCCAGGATCTAAGAAAGGACTTGGCTTTCCAATCAGACCTTTCTGTCATCTTGTGCATGACGGTGTCCTTTCACAAATGTTTGCTCCATCTTGCCAGGTCTACTACAAAGACGCAGATGTTTCTTGAAAGTGGCAAAAAGATCAAAGAGACTGTTTGTGCCTGATGTGCTGGAACAAGCCTGAATTCTGCTAAATCTGATTTGAGCAAATTAAATAAAAACAGAAGCCAATGCTTTGCAAAATATTGCTGTGGAATTATGGAGCTTCATGGGTCAAAACTGTAGTAAAAAATGCACATTTAATTACTAAAACATCTTATCTCAAAATAACAACAACAACAACAAAAACCTAAATAGGTGTCTACACATTATGGCTGAACTGTTTCAGAACTTAGTATTTCTAAATTTCATTAGTGCAGGGCAGTGAACAGTCGCTTGCTTCTTTTTTAATTTTAAGCCTGAACAAATAGTCTAATTATTAAGTTTAATGATGGCTCTAAGCAAAATTTCATACACAAACACAAAATGGGCTTTTTTCTCACTAAACCCCATACTGAATAGGAAACAAAGACACAAACAAAAATGTTATGTATTAACAAGGTGACACTTGTCAAGGAGGGTGCTGAGTAGATTAGTGCAATGAGTAAGTCCCACAAATGTGTACAAAGAGTCATGGAATCTCAAGAAAGAGCTGAAGTATGGCGGGCTTTGCTGCACTTAGATTGTCTTTAGTGATCTCCTACCACTTTTACTGCAAGTCTCTGCTGTGTATTTGGTACAGGACTCTCAGATTGGGGTAAACAGATGGTTAGCCATCATGATGAGGTGCCACATGATAGTTCATGCACATGGATGTGGAACTTTTTAAAGTCTTCTGCATTTTAAAGCTTGTGTAAAGAAATTACAGGAATGAAAACTCAATGCGGTTGACAAAGACTAATACATTTGTCAACAGCTGTTGGCCATCATGATAACAGCAAGTCAAGATAACAGCAGCATACTTCTAAGTTACTTAACTTTCTAGATGTGTACTATAGCCTTTATTTAGAGACCTCTGGAATTATTTACTACCTATGATGCAAATATTTGACCAAAATTTGCACATTACTATTTCTTTGTAGCCATAATTTCCTTCATGGAGGATACTGAGTATTAATGTTAAGTATGGAAATTTAGAACAGGAAGGAGTCTGACTCCATCGATGGTTACTCCCATGGGTATCATGTGGTACCTCAAGATAGGTAGTCACTCCTGGACATCATCAGCAGTATCTGGTAAGCAGACAGTTGTGTCATTCCAATACGAAGAGAAGAGAGTCAGCATTTTAAAATTTCATAAAAATAAACATAAGTGAAAAAACAAAGCAATAACTTGAGGACTCAGTTTTGATTCCTTTTGAGTGTATTTTGTTCCAAAATTTAAAATTATGGTAGACATTAAGAATGAAGCCTCATAAATCTATTTGGACAAAAGTTGCTTGTTTTTGCCTCCACATACAACTAAAGCTCTGTATTGGAGAGAAAAGGAATTTATTTGATTTAAGAAATATTTATGAAACTACTTCTGTATTTCAGATGGGTTTTCTAAGGCAGAAGATATGGACAGTAAGTGACCAACTTTCAGTAATTTATTTCTCTTCAGACTTTGGTTACTTTAAGCACACAAAGAAAAGTGGAAAATATATTGTATATGAAACAAAGGGCATTTAATGTTTGTTGGATTATTTTACCCAATAACCTTAATCTCTTTTCATTATTTATAATTAAAATGTTATTCAGGATTTAGTTTATAGCTCAGCCTTAAGCGATCCAAGACATTTTTAAACTATGAAAGCAAATTACTGAGACAATAATTATATTACTTTTTAAAGAGTGTCATTTGTTTGTTTGTTTGTTTCATATTTTGAGATAGTATCTCACTAGGTAGCCATTGACTGGCACTATGTAGAGCAGGCTTACCTTGAACTCATTGAGATCTTTATGCCAATACCTACTGAGTTCTAGTATTAAAGGCATGAGCTAATTGTATATATTGAGGAGGGCAAACAAAATTTTCTTATCTGAGCCAGCAATACGCACTCGAAGAACCAAAAAGAATTTAACAAAAACCCCAGCAACATCTATGAGACACACTCTTTTGACTTGTTGGTTAGGGTTGTCCACAACACTTCCAAACATTATAGGCTATCCCTTAGTTGACACCCAGAGATGGAATATAAATATATTTTACTGAGGACACCATGTACTTCAGACACAGGGCCCAGAGGACTTTGACTGGACCTGACTTGAAACCCTCTTTTATAGGGACTAACTCTCATTGTACCAGAAAGTGTGATGCAAGCTTTGAAAGAAGAGAATCAGCCAATAGTCCTATGCAGCTGTGATGCCTATGAACCACAGCAATGGTCACCCTAACACTTAAGGTGCAATAGGGGCATGTATACTTTATTTGTAATCAACAGCTCTCTAATTGGACTTAAGTCCAATCCAACAAGAGGGAAATCATGCTTGGTACTGGAAACTTAGCCAAGTACCCAACCTAGAAAAGTCATGAATCTTGGAGAATTCACAGTTGTCACTTTAATAAACCAAAATAATTCCCAACTATAATATAAATATTTGTCCTTATACCCACAGATTGGTATGCTTATTACCCCTCCATTCAGGAAATTTATCTTAAAAATACATGGAGACAAACCCACAAGCAAACAAAATGCTGCTATAGAGTTCAGTCTCAATGCACATATCTATCTACAACACAACTCCTACATCTAAGACTCAGGGAACATTGCAGAAGATGAGGTGGAAAGATTACAAGAACAAGAGAATAGAGGAGATTGCAGTGAAATTGTGTCTTCTACTAATATCAAATGTTAAGCCCATAAAGTTCCACCAATGTGACTACATAAATCTCAGGTGAACAAGGACAACCACATTAGATATGACAATGTAGATATGGTTAAGAGGAAAGTCCATGCGGCCTCAACCCTACACAAAGAACTACAAGCAACTAAGGGATGCCGAGAGAGAGAAAGTCTTCTTCAGAGAAGGGAAGACAAGTTGGTTATCCAATACTAACTACATGGTCAGCCATGAAAACAGACAAAGAAGTAACATTATATAGACTGAGAAGGTTGCATTTTGCATTTAGGAATATTTATTTTTATATAGTTAGGAATGTATATTATATAATTGTTTATATTATTAAGCTGTTTAGATACTAAATTATTTAAAACAACATTAATAAAGAAGAATATGAATTTGAAAGAACAAGGAGTAATATATGGGGAGGTTTGGAAGAAGAGAATAGATAGGGTGAAATGGTATAATTATATTATACTGGCAAAATTTATGATTAAATTTATGAAAGTTATTGATTTTTGTCTATCCATGTCTTAAGGAAATGGGAAGTCTAGCCAACTACAGTGGCAGTTGATTATAATCCTAACATTTAGAAGGTGGAGGCAAGGGAAGTAATTATTCCAGGTTAGCCTCAGCTACATAGTCAGTTTTTAAAATTATAATATAATTATATAACTTCCTCCTTTGTCTTCTCTCCAACCCCTTATATGCTTCCTCCCTCCATCTCTTTCCATGTGCCCTCTCAACTCCCTTTCAAACTGCAAACCTCTTTCTGATTATATATTTATGCATACATATGTAAATACATTCTTTTGCATCTGATTTTAAGTAAAATGCTTGTATATTCAGCTATTTCTGCCTTTGGACATTACTGAATTTCACAGTTCTTGAATTGTGAAGTGTTGAGGTAAGAAAGTTGGAAGCAGACCCTGGCTTTAATATTTGTTAGCTATATGTGTTCAGAAAAAATAATCACCTTTATTCTTCAGACTGTTCATTAATAACATGCCACTAATGACCTCACTCTTGTAGTTTTTCTGATCATTAACTAAGGGAAAATTTTAAAAAATCTTAAAGTATAACCATATGTTTTAATACACACTCATGCATTTTCCCTTACTATCATATGCAATATTTTTCTGTCCAAGCATTTTATTATATCTAACAAGACACGACAGAAATGAATCCTTCTATATCCCATTTCTCAGTTTTTCACTCATAGTGTGCCTGTTTCAAGAAATTCTATTCTGCTTTTCTGATTTCCTTTTTCTATTTGTTATTTTCTACCTTTTTGGGACATGGTCTCATGAAGCACAGACTGATCTCAGATGAAATATGCAGTTCAGGCTGTCTTTGAAGTCTTGCTTTTCCTGTCTCCTCCAGATCCACCACAGAGCTGGGATTATTGGCTTCTGTCATTATATCCAGCTCAGATTCATTAAAGTCTTATTCTTTTTTGTTTTGCTTAAAATTAGAGACATTTTGTAACATCATGAATTCTATAGACCATCCCATCACTGATAGCCATGAGCTTAGAGAACGGGTGAGTAAGAAAACAGCAACCCTTCACATAGGGCTGCAGGAGTGGCATTTTGATATTTGGAATGAACTCGTCTCTTTGTGATTCTTGTTCTGAATAAGTAGCTCTTATATGTAACAGGCTTTTTTTTTTGGCTGCCAACCAGTTCCCAAATATAAGACTCATGGACTAATTATTAGTTATGAATGCTTAGCCTTATCTTATGTTTATCCCACTAATTCTTATAATTTAATTTAACCTGTTTCTAATCATCTATGTTTTGCCTCAGGGCATTTTACCTTTCATTCTGTATGTCCTAATTTCCTGATTTCTCAGTGTCTGTTTGGCTGGTCCCTGGCATCTCACTTATGTCTCTTTGCTTTCTTCCCCTGAGCCTAAATTCCTCCTCCTTACTTACTCTCCCTGCCCAGAAGTCTCGCTTATACCTTCTCCCTTGCTATTGGCCATTCAGCTTTTTATTTTTTAAGACAGGGTTCTCTGTAGCTTTGGAACCTATCCTGGAACTAGTTCTTGTAGATCAGTCTGTCCTTCAACTTACAGAGATTCACCTGCCTCTGACTCAAGAGGGCTGCGCTTAAGGGCATGCACTACCACCACCCAGCTGGCCAATCACCCAGAGTGTAGCTACTAACAGTTTGTCTTGACTTAGGGTGTGGATTCTTGTTTGGGGGGGTATTAAGATGATTAATATGGTAATTACTTCGTTTGTTCCTTGTTAGTATGGTAAAGAAGTCTTGTTTTCTTCCCTGCTTTTGGGTTCAGG